GAGTTTTCAATGGTGTGTGCAGGATCTTTAGCTTTTAGAGACAGCTAGCATCTCTGAAATCACCTACTGTACCTTCTGCTGACCAACTTGCAGTAAAACAGCACCTGACATAAAAGTAAAACTCTATATTATGCATGCCAGGCTAGTAGTTGGTCATTTGATATTTTAACACCAGCATTTTTACAAAAATCTAAACTTACAATTTGAAACTGCCCCCAAAATGTGGCTGTCCTGTCCTGCTGTCCCATGACCATATCCATATCCAAGTTTTCTGTTTTTAGCTGTAAAATGCTATTATATGTAAATGTACCCAGAATGTTCAGTCAGTTGTTTATAAAGGGACCAGTTTTAAGCAGAATAAACACTAAAACATCTTTCACCTAATGTTTTTTAATGTAAAAAAAACTTTTGTCATTCATGATGTATTTAGAACATAAATTATCTAGTGTTTTACTGCTTTAGGACATGCACTGCTATGATACAATAACTAGAGCTGTGGTTAAAAAAAAAGGCCTAATTTATTCTGCATCTTCAAAATGCATTGATAATCCATTTTGAGTCAATTCTGAGTTAGTTTTTTAACTGCAGATGGCGCTGTATGTAGTTCACGGATCTGCTTGCATCCAATTCCTTACATATACCACTTGACCTGAATCTGAAACAAGTATTAATAAAGCTTAGAAAGTTTTAAGCGAATTACAAGAGGGTTCATCTTGAGCCATTGACATTTAATCTCGTGACAAAAACAAACTGGTATGACTCCTTTTCTTGTGAGCATTTGTGTGCACAGTAAAAAACAAACTAGCCTTGAGCACCATCTGCTGTTAAAATCTAAGCGCAGAATCAATTTATGCGATGCATTTAAAAAATCTCAATCGATTTCTGGAATGGGGTGTCATGGTGGCGCAGTGGGTAGCGTGATCGCCTCAAAGCAAGAAGGTCACTGGTTCGAGTCTCAGCTGGGTCAGTTGGCATTTCTGTGTGGAGTTTGCATGTTCTCCCCATTTTCGCATGGGTTTCCTCTGGGTGCTCTGGTTTCCCCTACAGTCCGAAGACATGCGCTATAGGGGAATTTAGTAAGCTAAAATTGTCCATAGTGTAAGTGTGTGAATGAGAGTGTATGGATGTTACCCAGTGTTGGGTTGCTGGATAAGTTGCTGGTTGAATAAATGAATTTCTAGAATGATTTTTTATCATAGCTCAAGTTTTGTAGCTTAAATAAAAAATAATAATTTAAACAGTTACATCATACATACTGTAGTATCTTTATTGAATTCTCCAAAAGTTATGTTAAAAAAGCAAATATCTAACTTTAAAGTTTTCTCATTTGTCAGATTCAATTCGGAACTTCAAGAAGAATATGAAGTTAGGTCGATTTAATGAGGAAGAGAGGGCCAAGCAAGAAGAGGCTGTCGCTAAGAAAGAGGAAGAGGAGAAGGTGGCCGCTGAGGCTATCGCTGTTGGAAACCGCTGTAAAGTTCAAGTTCCTGGGCAGGCCACTAAGATTGGCACTGTTATGTATGTTGGTAAGTTTACCCTCATTTTCATATCACACCACTCAGATTAAGACTTTCATTGTTTCTGTTGTTTGCATGACCTGATTTAATCAAATCTGCTGCTACTTCTCACAGTGCAATTTAGTTTTAGGTCATGGTTTTTGTACAGTTCAGTGTATATGTTCAGTATGAAAGCACCGTCAAAATAACAAACTCTACAAGCAATATAAAATACAAATTCAAAACAATATAGGAATGATAATACTAAAATAAACAGTGTCTTTTTAGGTTTTTGATGTACCTAACAGCAGTGGTGTAAAGTACTTAAGTAAATGGACTTTGTTACTTTACTTAAGTATTTTTTGGCTACTTTGTACTTGTACTGAGTATTAAAAATATAAGCAACTTTTACTTCCTACTTGACTACATTTTGGATTGAGTATATGTACTCTTTACTCCACTACATTTGAACGGACGCTTCTTGTTACTCGTAACATTGTGATTGTGCGCGACAAGTCGGCATCTTTTTTTTAAGAATTTATCGTCAAATTTTAAACACATTGAGGTAAGAGTCTATTTAACGTTAATATAATAATTTAGTGAATTTAATACAGTTACTGATATGAAAAAACCACTGAGACATGACATGACTATGTTTTTGCTTAATTTCTTTGTGCAACGGGAAAAAATGTATCACTGAAATTATACGTTCTGCATCAGGTGCATTTAGCTGTGAGTTTGTGATGTATTTTTCATTGAATTTAAGTGTAGTTTACTAAGTTGAAAAATAACACTGCTCCTCTTTGTTTAATTTTAATACAGAGAAAACATCCTAATCAATTAAAAAAACTACTCAAAATAAAAGTACTGCCCCCCTTTGAGACTGAGAGGTGAATCACATGAAAGTCAGCTCTGAATTTTTCTTTTACTACATTTTACTACTTTTTTTTATTGTTTCTGCCTTTTTATGAACATTTGAGTTTTAGACTTTTTGTTCTTTTTTTCATCTATTTTGTTCTGCCATTTTGAAACATTGAGGTGTTCATATTTAATTTAATTTCTATATTAGGAAATAAAACATTTCTTGGTGTTCTTTGAGCCAACATATGAGTAAATACTTAAGTTCTTTTAAAAATGGATACTTTAATACTTTTACTCAAGTCTTATTGGAATTTGTGACTTGTAACTTTAATTTTTATAGTAAGGTATCTGTACTTTTACTCAAGTATGGTTTTCAGGTACTCGTTACACCTCTGCCTAAAAGTTACATAAGCTGAAAAATATAATCAAATGTAACACTATACGATAGATAATCTAGACTGTTTAAATTAAATAAAGGTCAACCATTACTGAGCTATATCTATCCAGTTAAGAGTAGGGGGATTTCATAAATTTTTGTTACGACAGGGAAGCTGTCATAAAATATCAGGCCTGTAGCCAGTCTGGTGAAAGGGGTGGTTCTTTTTTTTTTGTCAAAAAGTGGACCTTTTTGCGATTTATAGGCCTCATTTTAGGCTCTTATTTATTTATGAGATTTAATTACCGCATTTCAGTGACATTTTAAGCATTATTTTAGCTGAAATAGATTGTTGGATGATTGTAACCAAAGAAAGTACATTTAAAAATTCACGCGTAACAGCAATAGCCAAAATTGTATTTAAATTTATTTTAATATCTGGTGCTTCACGTCTTTTCATTGGTCATTTTTTGTTCCAAGATTTAGAATGAAAATGCTTGTAAAATATTTGATCTATTTAAAAACAACACAGTAGTGAAAGATGACTTCACTTCATCAGATCGTATGTTTTCTTGCACAGCTGGTTGTTGGATTTATGAAAAATAATTGTGTGCAACTGGTCACACTGAAACGACAGCTGACAGGGGATTCCACTTGGTCTTATCCTTTTTCAATGGTTTTTTTTCACTATTTATTATGGCATCGCAGTCAAAATAGGACAAATGAGCTCATGTATGGGACAAATTCTAGACCTTTATCAGTGAGGGTTGGTCTTTCAAACCACCTGAACCCCCCCTAGCTACGGACCTGAATATGTTATATGATATGTATAGTCATGTTGATTGCAATATTTATTTATTTAAAATTCCTCTTTTTTGTCCCTATAGCTGAGTGCATTCATATTTTTTGCATTGCTTCTATTGTTTTCAGGTACGGCAGATTTCAAGCCAGGCTACTGGGTAGGTGTGAAGTACGATGAGCCACTCGGGAAGCATGATGGCAGGTCAGTGCAAGCACATGCTGTTTAAGTTTATGAAAAGCGCCAGGATGTTTTGAAAAATGACTAATGGGACTGTTACATGAACCTTACTCGAACCTTGTAGTCTAACTGATTCTTTATGTTTGTCTTGATTTAGTGTGAATGGAAAACGTTACTTTGAGTGCGAACCAAAATATGGTGCCTTCGTGAAGCCCCTCACAGTGACTGTAGGAGATTTCCCTGAAGAAGACTATGGTTTGGATGAGATGTGAGAATCAGAACCTGATGAACAGTCAGAAAGTTCTTCAAGAAGTCTGCAGTGAGACTTTGCTGAAGTAGAAGGGTTTTCTGTTGTCATTGCGGATCATTTTGTTTTTTTGCTGATCTTGAAGAGATCGGCAACAATTATACCTTAATTTCCTTCAGTCAAACTCAAGAAATGATCTTAAACAACATCTGTGCCCTGATGACTGGAAGTAACTGGTAAAGCAATTCTGAGAACATCAGTCAAGATCAGAGTTAGAACCTAGTTGAACTCACTTGCATGTTGATTATTGAATTCCAAAGTTCTGCAGCTGATTTGAGCCCAGGCTTAGTCATTTTACTTTAAACAAATCCAACAAAACAAAATGTTCTTCGCGTTTTTTGCAATTCTGTACACAATGTATTGTATAGAGGTCTTATTTGTACTAATGATTTATTTTTGTTGCTTTCTTGTGCATCAACATGACTGTGTTTAGGGTCTCAGTCCCTTATCGTCCTCGGCACTTTAGCAATTAGCTCACTTATGAGTGCAGTAATGTAGAATCCTGTGGCCTCAGTTTTCTGTATTTTCATTGTAAATTACAAAAGTGTGACAATAACTCTAGCTTTTTACTTTGGCATGTAAAGATTTTGATGCATGTCAAATTCACTTTGAACAGAAAGGCCTCATGTTTTATGGAATTCTGTTCAGCAAAATTTGTTTTGAATAAATCCATGTGCCAACTTTGGACATCATGCAGACAGATGCACAATTTGTCTTTTTTTCCCCCTGGAACTGCCTTAATACGCAGCTCAGAACATGTTGATCTGGAAAATACTAATGCAGAACAGCACTAAAATCTTCATGGTTCATGGGTAATAATAAACATTTGTTTATGGTTCAGAAGGGTATGATTGGTTTCATTTGAATGCTGTAATTGTCTTATAGCAGTGCACTACTTTAACAAATCATAGAATAAGTAAAACGTTAGAGACAAGAGCAGGTATAAACATTGATTTTTTTTTGTTTGTTTGTTTGAGATGTTTAGGGAAATGCAAGCAAATTTCATGAGTTGTATATATTTTGAAGCATAGTATTAAAAAAAACTTAAATGAGATATTTGGTGGAAAAACTGACCAAAATTAGAGAACACTTTCAGATTCCTCTGTATTTGTGTTAATCTGACATCTGATGGAATTTCCTTGACAAAGAACCAACAGTCTAATTTCATTTATTTTGCAAGTTGGCCATCTGTTCTAGTATGACTGATGAAGACCAGCAATATTACCCCTAATTTAAGTGAATGCAAATATTTATAAACATTTCCTTCTGCAACATTATTCTGTTCATGCATTCATCATCCAGTCAGTATGCAATTGGCAAAGAGCCAAATGCACAGCAAAATAGGTAAGGCTGTTCATTCAAGCTAAAAATAATGAAATGGCAGACTGGAGTACTGCTGTAAACCTGATTCAAATTTTAATTAATTAATTTTCTTTTCGGCTTAGTCCCTTTATTAATTCGGAGTTGACGCAGCAGAGTGAACCAACCAACTTATCCATCACGTTTTACGCAGCAGATGCCCCTCCAGCTGCAACCCATTAATGGGAAATGATTGAAATTTATGGGGAAAAAATCCTTCTGATAGTCATTATCCTTAAAATTTGTCTAAAAACCCAGTACTGTTGGTGAACTGTGGAGATTGAGGAAGAGCTGATCAAGATCACAGGGTTAGCAGTGATAGACTAGTGATGTGCCTGTAGATTTGTTGCAGACATTTTTTTTTTTAGTTATTGACTGATGTAAACTTAAATAATTGCTATTTTCTTTTACGTGCTACAATTGTTGCTGTTCTCTAACTTTAATTACAAAATTGCTAAAGTGACTTTTTTTATAAGGAGAAAAAAAAGTTACATCAAGAAATACCTTCAAACGCTGAATGGTGAATATTGTCTCTAATGAATAAATAAATAATCTGCTTTAATGTTGCACTTCTGTCTCAACTTAAATTAAGTGACAAATTGTTTTATGATGCAATTTGAGCTCTCCAGGGAACCTTTTTTGTTTTTTAAACGGCCAAATTATAAAATGTATTTAATAAAACAATAAAAATAATATTTAAACTGAGTTTGTGAACTGGGTGTTAAAAATAATGACCTAAAATATTTTCCAAGCCACATTTTAGAAAGATTTATAAAATCAATTTTCCATCCACAGCATAACTTTGGTATTATTTAAGAAGTTACTTTTTACATTAGAATGGGGGGCACACTTTCATAACATCTAAAACATTGAAAACAATTACATTACAACCCCAACGTCCTTGCATTAAATATAACATTTTCACTATTCTTAATTTTTTTCTCATATTCTGCTTTAAATATTAAAAATCGTATCATCGATTGTAACTTACACAAGACATGCTAGAAATCGTTGGACTTTTGCACAAATCATCGTGGTCAGACCAACCCCCCCAGAAAAAACGTCTACAGTTCTTGTCCTTTTGCTGTCAGTAAGAAGCTGCGTGTATTTTCTAAAACTGGATAATCCTGTTTATTTATTTATTTAATTTATTGAAGAATGGTTTTTATCGCGTTTGAATGCCTGAAAGCCGTCGACAAGGATGCCTCAAGAATAACCTTAAGATTATTTTGCTCATGAATTTTGTTTGGATCATGATTGTGGAACTTTAAGTTCGTTAAGAAAATGAACCTCTGCTTATGGTTGAACCTCATAACATTTTCCGGTCTGCTTTTGTCGTTGGGTAAGTGTTTTTCAGTTGTTATTTTGGTATTATTGGTTGAATAGACTTGAAGCGCACTATTTAAAGGAAATTGCGAAAGCTTTCGTTGTGTATACGTGTACACAAGGTCTGGAACACTGGTTCTGTCTAAAAAACTGGGTGAGTTCCCTACCTAGACAACATCCTACGAGGCATTTCGCCGCATCATCAGATAACCAGAAAAGGCGACTCGTCGTTTTAAAATGTTTCAGGGATGAATATAAAGAGAACAACAAACAAACGGCTATTTAGGGACTGCAGTTGGCGTGAAATCTTGTTTTAAAGGTCATTCAAGTTTTAGACGTGCTGCAGATTTTGTTAGGCAAAAAACACGGTAAAGGCAGGAATACCTCACTAAAATCACTTTCAGCAAGTAAGTATTGATGTAGGCTACGTTTTTAATATTGACAACATTTTGTAAAGTTTTTGAAAGAGGGCTTGACATTTCCTGATTTATGTTCACCAAACGTTGTGTCTAAGGATTTCTAAAGTAACGTTAAGCCAGTTAGCAGGTTTCATATGGGCACATTTTTTTTATTATTTCTCATACTTTTAAATATTTATTATAAATGTCCAGTGGCCCCTTTAACACATTCTGTTGATTATAGTTAAAGTGCAGCTATACACGCCTTAGAGTTCAATTAATTAGAGTATAAGTAGGATTGTGGTTAGGTTTAGTGTAAACTGGCATGTAGCAACTTGTAAAGATTCTCATAGACAGATTTTGGTTGAGCAGTGTCAGCAGATACTAAGCAAACAGTCTGCTAATAATGCAATGAGAAATAGTTTGCATCTAGATGCATTGTAACCTCTAGTCAACAAAATGTGCAAAAGCGACTAAAATAAAGTGATACAGATGTAATTATTGTGTGCTACACAATTTAGATCTGGATGGACAGCTCATTATGTTTTGAGTCAGTCTTCATCTCTATAGCTGAATCATTTTTTCGCAAATTGTACACCACATGAATCTCTTAAATCACTGTATCTTAAATTTGAAAATACAGATTGCAATATTCCAGATGTTGTAGACCAGATGTGTAAACTATTTCAGCAAAATCTTACACAATAACTATAAAATACTCTAGAGGCGTTTATCATCACTTCTGTAATAAATGAGCAAATGCTTTTCTGCTAAACTTCTTGTTGATTGCTACTCAGACTCGATGGGGCTTTTCACACTTGAAAATGTTAACCTTGACTTATTCAGAATTGCAAATGTTTTTTTTATAAAATTAAACATCTAGACATTTACTGTTTTGTATTTATGGTCTTAAAATAAAATAATTTGTCCAACGTTTATAAAATAGATTGCTCTGAACTGGTACTTGATTCTGATTGGTTGAGCTGCATTAGAAGCTGTTGTAAAATACTCTATAAACACATCTTTTGTTGTGTTTCATTTTAAAGGCTGCATCTTCTGAAGCATGCATTTGAAGGGCTCTGCGCCATCTGTGGTGCAAAGCTGTCTCATTTTTAAAAAAAATTCAAAGCCTTCTTCAAATGCAGCCTCAAAATGCATCCTTTTGTTTCTCAGGTAATGAAGAACACAAGCTTTGCATCCATTGCGGCCTTAAACGTTCCAAGATTCATTGCGCGCTGATAACGGCAGGACTTCAGATTTAAAACTGCAGATTAAATGTATGAATTAGGTTTATTTTACTTGGATATCTAAACACACATGTTAAAAAACAAAGAGTATGAAATGTTACTAAAAAAGTGTTTTTATATACTGTTTAAAATTTTATTGTAATTTATTTTTTAAACGAATTAACAACTAAAAAAAATTTATAAATCGACTGTAATTGTTTTTAAACTGAATCTTTACCTCGCTTGACTGCTTAATGGTTGGAACAAATTTGCGTGGATTTTATAATGACGTGGAAATGTAATTTCTTAGACCCTCACCATACAAAATATGATCAAACCATGCTGTGTATAATTTATACTTCTAGGTATTTATTGAGGGCCCCCAATTTCCTGAGGCCCTAAGCGGCTGCTTTCTTCACTTATTTGTCAAATCTGCCCCTGCATGTATGCATCTAAGAAATCATATTTCCAACTTCTGTAAACCTTGTTTTGCCTTCAGATGCTTAAAATAAGTTTGAAAATTACTTTGAAAAAAGTAATTCAAGATTGTATTACCGCTTATTATTAACTGCAGCTGTCATAGTTGCTAGGTGATGAGATCTGTCCTCTGTACTCTCTATTTCAACATGCTTGGATAAGCTTGTGTGGACTTCAAAGGACTCACCTTTGAGGTCTAGCCTCTGAAATGAGACTCAGCTTTTGTTTCTTTGGTCCTGGCGACAGTTTTTTTTTACTTGGTTTTATTTTTTGAAACCTTACTATACATATGGAATAAACATATTATAAAAGCAATAAGCCCTATGCAGTCATGATTAATGGTGAATTTATAAAATTTAAGGGGGGTTTTATGTATGTTGTTGTGCTTAACAGCACCCTATTGCTGTTATAAATACACTGTAAACCATGGATTATTGCTTTCATTTTTTGCTTTTTGTTTTATAACCAATTCATATGAAAATTGTTTTTTTTATCTGCCCATATATTGGTTATCAGCTTTTAAATGTTCTGTTGGTATTTGCCATTTTACATGTGGTGTAAAGTAACAGATTACAAATACTCAAGTTACTGTAATTGAGTAGTTTCTCGTAGAAATGGTAGTTTTAATAGTGGTTCTACAAATTGTGTACTTTTACTTTCCCTTTAGTACATTTCAGTGCTACATTGGTACTTTTACATCACTACTTTCCTTTAAACAGTGTTCATTCCTTGATTTTTTTCTTGTCTGTGAGAATTGGCTAAGTAGAAAAATCAGTTCTGCGATTTCTGTCCAATCCCATAGAAAGTAAATCGCATCATACTGAACTACCTAGACATGTGCGCTTTAAAAAGGCAGCAAAACATTTGGAAGCATTAAAAGTGTCCAAGAAGATGTCCAAAATCTTGCACTAAATGCCCTACAGAATGTTACAATTACACACACACACATGCAAAAATTGCATGTAAACATATCACCTTTACACAGCGTAATACTCACTACTAACTACTCTTGAGTACTTTTAAATGGGCTACTTTTTACTCATACTTTGTGTAATATTTAAGACATATTTTTACTCCACTTGCACTACATTTTGGGGTTAAGCAATGGTACTTTTACCTGAGTATGATTTTTCTTTCCTCCACTGCCTTTTACATATTGGTGCATTCCGATATAAAATGCATTATCATGACTGTCCAAAGCATGTAAATATGAATTATATTATATTTTATTTTTTATAATTAAAATATTAAATGCTCTGCAGCTGGGTTTCATGTCCCTGGGTAAAAAAACAAACAACAACATAAAAAAAAATGCTAAAGCTAACCTGGGGTTTAATATAGTGTGAAAAAAGACATATGAACGTTCCAATGAACACACAAAAAAGATTATTGCTGCTTGTAATTTCTTTGGACAATTTATGTTCTATGTCTAACCCACTTTAATAATAATAAAAAAAAGATTAACCTAATTGCTTTGTGTTGGTGTAACCAGGTTAGTGAACGTGTAGTTCTTAGCATGCCCTGTGGGAGATTGCATTAAGAGGAGGATAAGTTAAAAATAATAAAAGCAACCTTTAGTCTTTTAAGTTAAGAAAAAGAATTGTTAGTCTTGTTTTGAAGAGTTTAAGGTTTTGAGGTTACCACCTTGAAGAAGAGTAGCACTAATCATGCTTTGGCAGCTTCTTTAACAACAATATTGTTTGTTGCTTGACTGAGAAAGCCACAACTGTAAAATAGGTGAAATAACACAATTTAACTTAATTAAGATGAGTTGAAATAACTAATTGCAGGACTCTGGGTTAACATCCTAATTTGCATATCTGCGGTTTGAGTGTCATGAATGCAGCATATGACCAGTTAACGTAATGGTTTTGCATGTTTTCACATTACACAGTTGAAGTCAAAAATATTAGACCCCCTTTGATTTTTTTATTTTTTATTTTTTCAAATATTTTCCAAATGATGGTAAACAGAGCAAGGACATGTTCATAGTTCGGCTAGAATAAAAGTAGTTTTTAATAAAAATGAATAAAATAATATAAATGAAGGTCAAAATTATTAGACCTTTTAAGCTATATATTTTTCGAAAGTCTTCAGAACACTTGCCTAATTACCCTATCCGGTCAAGTAAACCTAATTAACCTAGTTAAGCCTTTAAACGTCACGTTAAGCTGTATAGAAGTGTCTTGAAAATATCTAGTGAAATATTATTTACTGTCATCATGACAAAGATAAAATAAATCAGTTATTAGAAATGAGTAATTAAAACTATTATGTTTAGAAATGTGTTGAAAAAAAATCTGCTCTCCGTTAAATAAAATATAGTATAAAAATAATAAAACAGGGGTGCTAATAATTCTGACTTCAACTGCATATCTTTTTTAATGAATCACTTTTTCACACTCAAAAAATTATGTTTTCTGTTTGCTCAAACTACTTATTTGAAACACGCTGAGACAAGACAATTCTAGATGTTTTTGTGGACAACTTAATTGTTTTATGTTTAATCCGCTTCAATTTGTAAAAACCAATAAGTTAGTTTAATTCTATCATGTCATCTTGACACAAATCAATTGCAAGGAACCCAGCATTTTTGACTGTATCAATTATAAAACTTCACTAGCATGAAGCATTTTTGTTATTGTTCAAAGTATGTGAATGTAAAGCAAATTAAGGGGTGTCTATCCTGAATCCTAAAAATAATATTAAGAACAATGACAAAGTGGGTCAAGCATAATGTGAAAACCCATATACTAAATGTCCCCTATACAGACACAAGAGCTCATCAAGCTGAAGAAGAGCCGCTGACTGCCTCAAACATGTCCCACTATTCAACACACCTCTCCAAAGCTAAATCCATCACCCCGACTGAAGCATCTGTGAACACGCTGCACATCTCAACACCCAGCAAACACCTGATCTCTGCATCTATAGGTACACAGCCTGATCTCTTGCATTGAGCTTCTTTTTTTTTAAAACATTATTTTAAGCAGAATAGGTTTGATTTTGATTTTCAGCTTTATCATTTGAAACCCTTTTCTTTGGATGGATAAAACAGGCGTTCCTCCAGGTCACCTAACAGCAGGTGGTGGATTTGATGCGGGTAGTTTCCTCGGTGGTATGATTCTGGCCTTTATCATCATACTGGCCGTCGCTGTAGGGTACAGGCTGTTCTGCTCAAAACGGGCGATTCGCTACAGGGTCATGTGAGTATCTACTGGTGCTTTATGCAACTACGATGAACATAGTAGCTTATTTCAAACATATACAGTTGAAATTATTAGCCCCCCTTTGATTGTTTTATTCTCTTTTAAATATTTACCAAATGATGCTTAACAGAGCAAAGAAACTTTCACGGTATGTCTGATAACATTTTTTCTTTTGGAGAAAGTCTTATATGTTTTATTTCAGCAAGAATAAAATCAGTTTTCAATTTTTTTAAAAACATTTTAAGGTCAAAAATATTAGCCCCGTTAAGCTATATATATATATATATATATATATATATATATATATATATATATATATATATATATTTATTTTTATTTTCTTTGAACCTAGTTAAGCCTTTAAATTACCCTATAAGCTGAATACTAGTGTCTTGAAAAATATCTAGTAAAATATTATTTACTGCCATCATGGCAAAGATAAAATAAATCAGTTGTTAGAAATGAGTTATCAAAACTATTATGTTTAGAAATGAGTTGAGCAAATCTTCTCTCCTTTAAACAGAATTTGGGGGGGAGGGGGGATAAATGGGGGCTAATAATTTTGACCTCAACTATACATGCATCCAAGACATCATAGTGAGGTGAAATACTAAAAAAAAAAACATAATCAACAGGGCTTGGCATTAACACCCACCAAATGCAGGTGGATTTCAGCTGTGGTGGGTTAAACAGCCACCCCAACTAGTCACTTTGGCTGGTTGAAAATATATTTTTTAAATTGTCAGTGCAGTTAATTGGTGATCTGGGACATTCAGCCTGGACAAACTACTGTGCATTTTAGATACATGACAATCATTTTTTTAAATGTCTATTTTTTTTATTGAGAACATTTTTGTTGAATTAAAAAGTGTGTGTAATTTGGCTAGCTTTGACACATTATTTAAATTTTGTGGCAAGAAAATAAATAGTTTGGTGTCACCAGAGAAAAATGGGTAAATTCTTAGCATTAAGCCCTGAAAATTCCTTTCATTAATGAAATATGACACAATGAAAGCACAACCCATTTGCTCATGCATATTTAGCAAGGTCATACACACCACAGAAAAAAGTGAAATGAATGAGGAGGCATGTGGAGATAACACAAAAATCTAAATTAAGTAATTTTAGCATACCAAAGTCAATTATCTGCATATAAAATATGTGCTCCCAACAACAAAATTGTGAATAATGAAAATGCAGAGTGATTAGTAACAAACTACTAGCCACAGTGGCTCATGAGCGACAAAGTTAATGTCAAGCCCTGATAATCAAATATTACAAAAAAAAAAAAACGTAAAGGTAAACATCTAAATGTAATTTCAAAATAAAAGGGAATATGGTGTTAATAATGGTATATGATAATAGTGTTAATCCTACATTTAGGGCTCTTAAAGTATTTCAGAAAGCATTTAGTGATAAAACTAGCTCCTAAATAAGTGAAACATTAGGAATAGTGAATAGAACTCTAAATCACCAAGACCAAACAACATACGATCGAAAAGTGGCTGTTTGGCTTTTTGCTGTGGAAAAATACATTTTTTAAAAATTGGCCAGGATCAGAAATATGTTTTCAAAAATATTTCAAAATTTAGCAAAAATCAAAGGCACTTGAAATATGTGGAATAAATATCCAAAAGCCTTTATTGACATAGCCTTAATAGTCATCTCAATAAGGGCTTTTAAATAAATTGCTGTTTATTCTGATCAACCCTTACCCAAAGAGCACCAACACATTATTTAAGCTACCCCTACCCCTTCTGTTTGATTTTGAATTTTTATATTTCAAACTTTATTAAAAAAAGACCTACAAATATTTTCTCTAAAGTTATTTTTATGCAAATATATGTTCTATAAATAACATTTTTGACTTACATTTTCCAAAATATATGTTTAAAAAATGATTTAAAGCCTAAAATATCTATTTGCTTTATTTCATTTTTTATTGCTTTATTTTCTAAGAAACACAGTCATTTGTATAATTGGGAAAAATCTATATTTAATGTGTGATGAACACTTTTTAGGAATGCAATTATTTACTTATAGACCATTTTGATGGATTTAAACCAAAACAACGGTCCCAAGGTGTTTCCTGTTTTACATTTTGAATTTCTATAGCTTCCGAGAATCCAGAAAGAGCCACATGTTGATAAATAATGTTACGTAATCGCTATTTTAACATTAATTTATAATTGTATTAACTCTTGTTACAGTTATAAAATAGTTTGATAACAGCCAGAACATGTTGATGGGCCAGTGACATCATATTTACATGGTCTATAGCCTGTATTTTAAAAAGTAAATTTGAATGTGGCATTATTATTATAATAATAATAATAATTATTATTATTTTTTATTTTTTATTTATTTTATTTTTTTACTTTTAGTTGAATATGACATCATAATATTGGGTTCTACAGAGTTTCTATGAATTGATCTCTGACATCAGCCAATGATTGTGTGCAACCTTTACTCTCAACTTCACTGAAATTGATTATATTAGATTCAGCTGCTTTGTGAATAGCTTTAAGGTGAAATTGCTTAACTAAAAACCTGACCGCTATTTACAAGAACTATAGGAGATCAAATGTGTTGTGAAACTGTCAAAACATTTTTGATATGTTTTTTTTAAATAATGATATCTGTTTTAAAACCACACACTTTCTACTTACCAATTACACATTAAACAACCCATGTTTTAAACATATTCAAATGTAATAAAACAACCCATCTAATTTCTATTCCATGTCACGCAGCGAGGAACATGATGCCATCATTTAAAAATGGAGCCATCCAAGAAACCTTCATGATCTGAGGAGTTGGTTTTCATCATAATTCATATGCATATGAGGGGTGTGTTCCTGGTGTCTTCACACTGGTTTGACTTGATTTAATTGAACCAATTGAGGGTGTGATTGCTTTGTTAGCGCCACTCATTTAAATGTGTGAACTTCGCAATCCAAATGGTGCACAGACACTAATGAAATGTAGGTTTCGGTCCACTTCCAAATAAACTGTAATGCTGTTCAACAGACAATATGAATGCAGCAAGGACCAAACAAAACAAAACTTGGTGAAACAAAAACAGCAAATGATGTCATAAGATGTGACTATAAAAGTACAGAATGCTCAAAATTGTAGTTTTTTGCTGCAATTCTTGACGTGTGTGTAGCAGGATTTATCCTGACTCCTTTATTATTATCATTATTATTTTTAAGCTTTTCAACACATAAAAATAATATCTCAGGTCCACATATAGAAGTGAGTTTCACATAGTATACAGTACTGCTTTGGATGTTTAGTATGAAAATATACATCACAAAACTTTTTTTGAGGGGACCGACTGTGAAAAGAACACAATGTTTATACATATTTTTGTGTTTTGGTTTGGTTATTAAAGCTATTTTGACAGTTTCTAAGTAAAAGTTAATGTACTTGAAGGGATTTATTAAATTTTTTGTCTGTTTAGTCCAGATTTATAGTCCATGGGCTCTATTTTGATGATCCAGGTGCAAAGTCCAAAGCACAGGGTGCAGAAGCATTAAGGGTGTGTCAGAATCCACTTTTGCTATTTAAGGATGGAAAAATCCGCTTTGGATTTTCCATGGTCCATGAACGCTTCACAAGAGAGTAAACAGTTAAACAGAGCATCAGCGTGAGAATGAGAGATGAGCCTCCTCATTATTTACTTTCACTCTCGTGGATAGGGAAACGTGATGTATGCACAGAAATCCATTAGCCTATACATAATTAATTTTGTTTATTAAGCGCAAACATTTGTTTCAAAACTATTTCTAAATTCAGTTCTAATTTCCAGCAAATGAATAAATGAACAATAATAACGAAGTGTGGTCAAAAAACTGAGTTATTTCCAAAATACATATACTGTGCCCCATATGGTCTAAAACCTGACAGGTTTTAATCTAAGCTTGTTTTTAATAAAACAAATATAAATATGGATATAATAAATAATACTGCTAGTAATGATAACGATGATGGCATGAAGGCTGTTTTTCTTATATTTATGTAGGCTAGAAAGAAATAATTTTTGTAATGTTTTAATCCTTTAATTCATTTTCATTTGTAAAGATATTTGCGCATTTCTCTACATAATGCGTGTATTAGGCAATGTGTAAGCGAGGCGCACAACTAACACGCTCTGTGCTGGATTTTAGACCTCCTCTAAGCGAGGCTATTGAATAGACTATTTTAGTTTCTCAAAATAACAACGCGTCAGCAATGCGCCTTAACATGCCTCCTTTTTTAGAACAGAACACCTATGGGCGCACTTATGAGTGCAAATGCATTTGCTATTAAAACAACGTGGTGCAAAACGTTAAAATGACACCTGCGTCGTGCCTTGCGCCGGTTGTATGATAGAGCCCCATATTTTAACGATTGACTCAATATGTAAAACATGCACACTTAAAAGTCTTTTAACCTTTGTGTACTGTTTAAATTGACTATCTATTCGTGGCTCTTTTTGCTGTTTTTGACTTCCATGTTCCTATGACATTTTTTGATTGCAAAGCCATGACACCAAATAATCATGCAATCTTGACTGTTGGTGTTTTCTATTTCGGGAAGAGGTCAAACTTTTCATTATTTCTGTTGATGATAAGTTGGCAGCATTAACTCTTAAGATAGGCCTGTGCAAAAACGTTTGCTTTTTATATGGAGTAAAACAGCAGATGTGTCTGTGCTTAAATACACTATGTTTACTAATTTCTGAGAGTTGAGCTGCTTTATTCCCCCCAAAAAATATAGAAGTGCCCAATGGTCTCACTCTGTCACACGAACTATAATTCATATAACCATATAATTTTTGTCAAGAAACTAACCTTTATTTTTGCTCTGCAACTGATAATCAAGAGTAAAAATTGTAAATTTACCTCTTCCTAACAAGAAAAACCAGCAACATTAAAGAAAGCATGATTATAGGGTGTCAGAGATTTGCAATCAAAACTGTCATTATAATGGAAGTCAATGGAGCAAAAAGAGCTACAAACATAACAAAAGGCTAGTAAATTTGCCCAGAGTGCATTGTTGAAGGTGACATGGTGGTGCAGTGGGTAGCACTGTTGCCTCACAGCAAGAAGGCCGCTGGTTCAAGCCTCGGCTGGGTCATTTGGCATTTCTGTGTGGAGTTTGCATGTTATCCCTATGGGTTTCCTTTGGGTGCTCCAGTTTCCCCCACAATCCAAAGACGTAGTATAGGTGAATAGGGTAAGCTACATTGTCTGTAGTGTATGCGTGTGAATGAGAGTGAATGGGTGTTTCCCAGTGATGGGTTGCAGCTGGAAGGGTTACACAAGTGCTGGATAAGTTGGCGGTTCATTCCACTGTGGTGATCTCAGATTAATAAAGGGACTAAGCTGAAAAGAAAATGAATGAATAAATGTATTGTTAGTTTTTCTTGTAAATATCAAAGTATTTTTTCCTCTTAATAAGATTAGTCACCAAAAATTGTTCCATTTGCTGAAACAGAAAGTTGTGGACAAATTAAGACTTGATATCACCTCAGAGTCGATGAAAACAACAGCACATAAGGGTTAAAGAAATATGGGGACAATTACTATTTTGATTATCTATTGATTAGTTCTTTAGTTGTTGTAATGGTCCAATTAAGTATTTTTTTGCATAACAAACCTTATACAGACGTTCCTCACACACAAATTACAATAACTCTATAATACTGCTCGTTTATGAACAACCATCAGACAGTAAATACCAAAGTATATACTTTATTCCAGGCCAATTTTAAAGTAATATGTCAAGAGATATAATGTAACAGAACTTAAGGTTCTAAAGTACATGCACATACATTGATTAAAAAAAAGCAACAACGAGATCATAATAAATGGATATAAATTCATTCTGGGTGCGTTTAAAGGAATCTAAATACCAATCCATTAACTTGTGTGATTAGTACTACCACTACAACAAAACAAAACGAAGAGAAAGAAAACAAAAAGTAAACAGTTACTATATAATCTGAACGGTTGCAAACTAAGCAAGCAAATAATCAAGTTTAAGTGACATACACAGTTTAGTCAATGTTCTAGAAACGTGCAATACCCTCACAATTCAGAAAACCTTTTGTTGCATTGCTCTCTTTCTCTCCAACACTGTTTTAGCCCACTAGAGTCTGCCATCAATACTATGTTTGCAAAAATAGAAACTTCTCTTAGCTTGTCTTTTTTTTTCCATTACTCCGGCCTAGCTTGTAGGTATCGATCATAATATTTGACAATACAATTGTTGCCTACTGAGGCAATAAAACTTCACCTTTTAAAATATATATTTATATAGTGTACGGGCCAGTTCTGAAGCTATAATCACGTAGTGTAAAGCTAACCATATTGTAAACAAGACTAAAAAAATTCATATTGTATTTCTGAACGGGAAAGACTGTAGTGTTCTACTAATGTAAACTTCTGACATCATAGAACCAGCAAAAGAAGACCTGTCAAATCTTGCTTCATTAAACCCTCCTCAAATCAGTTAGACCTTTTCTCATTAGCTTATGTCTTACGTGTACATCAAAGAAGGATAAATGATCCCGTCGTCCATTTCGAGAAAAGATTCATCACGAAGAAATCTTTGGAAGAAATCCTGACAGAAATGATAACTTGATGAAAGTCTACTCTATCGATACCAAATCAGATCCAAGCTAATCTACAGCACTAACCCTCAAAACATACTCGGTCTACCCATTTTTAAACGTATCAGAATCTTTCACTTCCTGCCCGATATCGGTCTCGGCGCCAAACGCCATCAACGTAACTGGCACAGACTCTGCTGGAGCTCATATCAGAGACGTCTGTCTTTTGATCAAAGTGCCCTTGATAGTTTTGTTCCTTGCTTTTTAGTTGAACGATATTTTTGCTTAAACAAGCAAGCATCAACTAAGATACTAAAATCGTACAATAAGAATAAAAAATAGGTAACAAACTGTTACAACGTAGCAGAAATGCTAGTTTTTCTAGTCAGTGTTCTTATTCATATAGTGTAAGGCAGCTCTTAGAAGAAAAGAAAGCGGTTATGAGAGCAAAAACTTGTTCTTTGATCACAAATGAATGCCAAAACCCTCAAGAAACAAAATGAGGCTTAAATAAAAACTAACACACAAGGAGGCTAGGGTTCTTCAAAGAAGAAACAAAACAAAAATCAAACCCTAATTCCCAACATAATATTCTTTTATAAAACCTTTGAAAGAAATATACTTTGATTAATGAAGAAGAGTAAGTAAAAGAAAACGTCGAATTTGATCGATGATCTCGAGTGTAAAAACTGTTTTTTTTTCTTTTGTTTTTTCATCTGAAGGCACTTGATTACACAGTATCTAGTGTGATATGCTGGCACAGCCAAGCAGCAGTATTTGTTTAACCAAAGCCACGCGTTAAAAAAAGATTTGAACCCACATACATATGACCTCCTCATCGCTTTTGTTCGTTTGGTATCTCAGGCTCATCGCTGCATCAAGTAAAACAGTCAATTGTAGCTTGAGTTGAGATCAGGGACTTTCATTTATTCAGGATTCGTCTGTCTTTGTCGTTCCCGCTTGTGAAACACTTGAACCCACTTGGCTCTGTCGGAGTTTTGCGAGGCAAAAAACAAAACACAAAATGGACATACTCGCACGCTGATGGGCCGACGTGCAGTACAGCCGTGAGAGAGATTCTGCTACTTGTGAATACTTGTCTGTTCATGGGCCAGCCTTGAGGATGCAGACATGAAAAGAAGAATAAAAAAAAGGACCAAAGGTTCGGCTTTTAAAACCAATTGGGCCAAATGTTGTGAATAAAACGAGAGAGAACCAAAAACAAAAAGGTGAAATGTCTTTTGTCGACTCAAAGCATCTACAGATCCTTCACAGATTGGATTGGGCAGCAGTTCGGTATGAAAGAGAAGGTGTAGTGCTGGGTTCGGGCTCTCTATAGCCAGGTTAGAAAGTTCTCCTTGTCGATCTTGGTAGCTGCCAGCACTGACTCCATGTCGTTGAGGATGTCGGAGCTTAGGGCTTCCTGCAGGCTGGGCATCAGCTCCTCGCCCTCCACCGCCATGCTCTCGCCCTCAAGGGTGCCTAGGTCCACGTCCGTGCCCGGGATGGCGTCTAGGTAATCGGGGAATCGGCTGGGCTGTGTTGCCATTGAGCCGGGGCCGAGGGTGTCACCTGAGAAAGGAGAGAGGGGTCAGAAATGAACGTTTCCTTTAGGGCTGCACTATACAGAGTTTGGGAAATGCCTGTGAGCCAAGACTGTGATTGTCCAAAGTGCAATGCCGCAATAAGTATTATTGTATATTTATACAAAACTCAATTAAACACGATTAAAATGATTGAATACACTTGATTCTTGCTCTTGACAGTAATAAGGATTCTTATTAGATTATTGCTGTTTTTATTATTATAACTCAAAGCCTCT